GTAGCCATACTTCGTTCAGTTACGTATTGCTAATGGTTTTATTCCAACAGAATTGGGTAAGTGGTTGATGAGACATGGATGGAATTGGACCAAAGGTATCTGATATGGAATTTAGGTATCGCAATGGCATTCACAATTACCCTCGAGCCTATTATGGTACTTTTGGAACATTTGATGCCCCAAGTGAAGAATCTATGCACTACACAATCGCTTACATCGGATGCACAAGTGCTTGATTTCTTGCGTGGTATCACACTTGTCGGTATCTTGCCACATCCACAGCCTATTTTCATTCGCAAGTTCCGATGGGGCAGAAGCATTGGTGATTTGGTTCCGCAGCATGTTATGGGGTCAAGCCTATGTGTCTTCATCTCGGATCTCCCTTGGAGTGGTACTCAGGTCAAATTGTTCCAAATCAAGCAACAGCTTACTGCCAACACGGCTGCTGCCAATAGCAACAATAATGCTTCCAGTCCCAATGCACACTCCACCACCTCCAATGGATGCAACATCCCCTCAACCCACTGCCGCCACTACGCCACAACAACAACAATAACATCACCACAAGCATTGCTACTCACACCAAAAATCCATTCCAATGTGTACTTTACTACCACATCTTTATATACATAAACTCGTTCCCAAAATATATACATGATGCTTTGCGTTTTTCGGGCAATGGATTTATTGGTTTAGGTTGGTAGTAGTGTATTTAAAGCTTTGCCTTATCCTTAAGGAATTGGTTCCAATCGGGTTTCTCCTTGTTGAGGAATGCCATGATACCAAACACAGCTTCATCTGATTGCATCATTTTGAGATAAGCGTCTCTACTGATTGTTGAACGTGTTGTTGGTGTTGTTCGGGGTTACCACCTGTGCTGATGGCATGGACAAGGCGTTTAATATCAGCGCTGGCACCTGGTGCTGATTCAACGAGCATATCAACGACTTTTTGTACGCCTTGTTGATCGAGTTGGTTACGTGGAACCACACTTGTCAATAAGCAGCTGCTTCACGTGCGGGAACACGACGACCTGTAAGCATCCATTCTCGAGCACGTTGACGACCCAATTCAGGTACAAGGTATTGAGAAATGATAGCAGGGATGATGCCACGCTTGACTTCTGTAAGAGCGACATAGGTTTCTTCTTCGGCAATAACACGGAAGTCGGTGGTAAAGATGAGGCCAACACCACCGCCAAGGGCAGGGCCGTTCACACGAGCAATCACAGGCTTGGGGAAATGGTACAAGGCATCAAACACACGTAGACCTTTCCGGAATCCTTCTCGTACTTGTTGAGGATCATCCACCGATTTCGATGATGCTGATAAATCCATGCCGGTACAAAGAATTTGCCAGCTCCTGTAAGCACAAGCACGTACAGAGCATCCTCCTTGAGTTTGGCAAGCATGTCGAGTAACAACTCGTTCATGTTGGCCTATTTAATGCATTGCCTTTTCGTGGTCGGTTCAAAGTGATGGTAGCAATATGATTGTTGATCGATAAAAGGACTTCAGGTTCTTGTTGTTGTTGTGCCATGATTTGTTGTCAGGGAGGGAAAGACGTGCGAAAAGAAATAGTCATCAATGCATATAAAATTCCATGCCAGATAAGTGAGTGGGGTATCTACCGCACGTGAAACCATGACAAACCATGCGTGTGATATATATCCAGTGTGGGGTTCTTTTCAAGATATTCATGCAGATTCACTTTCCCATCATGTGTCCAACGCCAATATTAGCTTTTATTATAATTCAACCATGAACAGTAAACGATTGTCTCATAATCTTGTTTCAACCGACTTGGCAGTCTTCTTAGCGACCAAAGCCTTGGTACCCTTCTTGGCATAGCGTTGGTTGCGAAGGAACTTGGCATCCACCTAAAAGAAAAAGAAAACTTGAGCATGTTGTTGCATTCAATGACTATGACACAGTATACGTACACCCTTGAGCGAGGGATAACGGTGTTGTCTGGGCTTCTTGATACCGTTACGGTGAGCCTTGCTGTCTATAAGTGTTCGTAGGTCATGATGAGTATGCTGATGCGTTGACTGGTGTGTGTATATGTGTGTGTTGGCGTATTGTAGTGGTAGTGTGGTTGTGGTTGTGGTGGTATAGTGTGCTTACTTTGGTTGTGGTTGGTGTGGTTCTTGGACTTGGCCATTGTTAATTCCTATAATCCCCAAAGTCAATTTCATCCATTCAATCCATCCTTCATCCATCGATCCCTTGATGCATCCATTGATCCATCAATCAATTTTCATATATATATTGCATTTACCTTTCACTGGATTGAGAAAGGACAGAGAGTTGATTGGATTCACGAACCACTCCCGCCTCGGTCAATCCCCCTCCTGCCTGCCAGCTCTGCTGTGGCACTATTCTCCCACCCCCACCCCCAACATTTCCCCTTACACGTGACTTGACCCATAAATCACCATACTAACAACTGCTTGAATGGATGTGATGAATGATAACATGTTATTACAAGGTAAATTTTTCTAGAAAAACAATGCAAAAAGACAAATATGAATGTAAAGATGCTATAGGAAGAACAAACTATGCACGATGTTTCCGCTTCTTGTTATCATCAACCGTTTCCATTGCTTCCCACATGGCTTGATCCTCTTCATCTTCCTCATCATCAGCTTCTTGTTGTTGCTCTTCCTCATGCTGGAATTCATCATCCACTAACAGACACGTCATACGCTGCTTGAGATACACCTTGTGCTCCACCTTGCGGAAAGTGGTCTTGGTTTCATGCACCCGTGCAAATCGATCCAGTGATACAGTGACAAGGTATGCATCTTCAGGCGCTGACTCGGAAAACTTGGCTGCAGGTGCCATGGCAACGGCTGTACCACTACCAGTCAAACCTATCATACCAATGTCAATATGCCAACTCTTTGGTACGATCCTTCTTCTTCTTCTTACCCTTGTATTGTCCAAGTGTGCGTCCTGTCTCCACATCAATAACACGTACAGTGTTCATGGTATCCGTGAAAATCAATTGCTGGTAATTTTTGCCGATAGAGAGACTTGTCAAAGGTACTTTGCCTCCAACATCATGATCGTGAATAGGTCGTCGTTGTGCTTTAATGTCGTATACACGAATCTACGTCATGGATATAAATAACCTGAATATATAGCCATCCCACATACCCTTTACTTACTTGATGATAATGCGTAGCTGTTGCAATGCGTGTACCTTCCTCATTCAAGAATTGCAAGTCCTGAATCCATACAGGCACTCGTAAATCCAACATGTCATTGGGAACCTACATATACAACACAATGAGCTCATCCATTCATGACCCTATGAAATCACAAAGAAAACTTACGTTCTTGGCCATAAACACCAACCCCTTTGCTTGTGCCTTTGCCTTTTGGTATCGTGTCTTTTTCTTCTTCTTTTCATCCTCTTCCTTCTCTTCTTCCTCCTCGTTCTCGTCTTGATCGTCCTCTTGCATGATGATGTTGGCATCGAAAAGTTTGAGATCATTTTCCTTGCCACCCGTAGCAAACAAATGAGGATGAGATGGATGGACACGCATAATGCAGAGATCCGCACCAGGAGCGGTTGTGATGCAAGTGGTAGTGTTGTTGCTGCCTGAGTCGTTGTTGTAATCGTCCAAACGAGTATATGCGATATGTCCAGTGGATGTACCAGTGATCAGGTACGTGTCGTTGGCAAAGAGACCAATGAATGTGCCCTTGTCGACACCCACGTTTTCATCCACATATTCACGTACAACAGCACCTGTCTCGGGACACATGAAATGCACTTTTCCATTCTTGCGAGCCACAACAAGCTAAAGGTGTATGTGTGTAAGTTGAAAAGTGAAATAGACACACACACACACACACACACCACACGATCCAAGCCAAACTTACATGACGCTTGCCGTCAATGACACCCCAACAAAGGTGTTGTACTGCTGCATTCTTATCGACACGACCAAACTTTTGTACAGTGGGTGTTGGAATCTGAGGTTCATTGGTGTCCTGATCCTTTTTGGCCTTTTTCTTTTGTCGTTGTTGTTGTAGGAGAGCTTGTGCTTGTTCCACTGCATGTTTGCTGGGGAAGACAATGGCTGTTGAATGCGTATGGATCAGTAGGCTGCGAGAAGGAAACAAGGTTGTTGAACTCACATTTCACCAAGCCGCTCTCGTCACCGGTGTAGATCTGCATTGGTTGTGGAGGAGGAGAAGAAGTAACATTTTTTCTTTTGACGGCCCTTCGTTTTTGTATCACCCACCACTTGTACGCGCGCTGAGTTGTATTTGGATCCCCCAAAAAGCCATCCATCATTTAAGCTGCCATCCATCCATGCATTTCTCATTGCAGTAAGATCTAAAAATCCCATTGTCGGAAGGATGATCCGATGCATTGTGGCTCTGCAGAGTCGATCTAATCCGCAGCAACACATCAATTACCTTTTTGTATGCACACTTGATCCATCCGCAGCAGCACGAGGAGTGAGGTCATAAATGCACACACACACACATTCATCCTTTTTGATCCAAATCAGAATCTGGGTTCTTGGTATTGTTTTTTATTCCTTGGCGTCATTTGATCAACAGCGCAACTACCACATTACACAAGAAAAAAAGCTCACACAATTGAGCGCCGCTGCACATCCCCATCACGGGGAAAGATTGTCAAACGTTTTAGACATAAAAAGTAGTGATTGCTTTTTGCTTTAATGAGAGGTATCATGAAAATGGTCATATAAAACAGGGTATATACAAAGATTGGGGGGGAGCATACAAATGAAACATAAATAAGAGTGGCATAGATGTACATTATTACGTGTGTGTGAGGAAAAGTGTTATCCCAGGGACGATGAAAGGGTGCCACCACGCAGTTTACCCAATCAGGTGGCAAGGAGACGGTGGTGATGGTGGTGCCAAGTGGGGGTTCGAGACATATGTGGACCTGGGCATGTGGGAGATATGACAAGGGTCGAAAGGTGTCTGGACCGTGCATGATGAAGGTGTTGATTTGTGTGTGTGTGGTCATTTGAGTTTTTCTTCAGTGCCTGATAATGATTCGAGAAGGAGTTGTAGAATGATGCCAAAGGCTAGTCGTACATTGGATGGACATGATGAGGTCCTACGTCTTGAGGAATGTATTGAAGAAGAAGATGCTTCTGATCCTTGTGTCGCATTAATGCATCCTTGCGGCTAAACTCAGCATTGCATTGATCACAAGGATACAATCGTTCACCTCGATGGACCGTCTGAATATGACGTTTACGGTCATGCTTACGATCGAATCGTTTAGGGCACTCGGGGCATCCAAAGGGTCGATAACGCTGCTTGTCGTGTGTCTTCATATGCGTTCCCAAATTATAACGTCGATTGAATTGACGATGGCAGGTTGGGCATGTAAATACTTTGGCTTTGGCCAATGCAGGGAATAAATGATGCTCTTGCTGCTGCTGCTGCTGCTGCTGGTAATTGATGTTTGCTGCGCCCATATCAGGTGTGTTGTTGACAGTAGCAGGCTGAGGAGAATGGTACTGCTGCTGCTGCTGCTGGTAGTAATTGGTCAAGTAAGGAGCTACAGCAACATCCACCATGCCGGTTGTATTATCTTCGTCATGTGGGTACATAACAGGAAAGTCATCGAGACCTTCATCAGGGGAAAATGGAGTAGCGCTTGGATCGAGAAATGGTGTAGGAGTGGGTGGCATCACCGATGCAGGCACTACATAGGGAGATACTACATCATCTTGCTGCTGCTGAGAATGATGATGATGATGATGCATTGCCAACATGTTGGGGTCAATGCTGCAGAAAGCAGGGTCTACAGTGAAGTTGTCGCTGTAAAAGGTCTTTTTGTACATGTTGGAGAGGAAAAAGGAAATTCTGTAAAGAAGAAGAAGAGGAAAGAGTAGAGAAAGAGAGAGCGGGTAGCCACTTTTTCAACAGCCTTTTTATATTATTTGGGTACACAGCATGATTTTCGATCCCACTTTTTCAAAGCTGCTGCGGCTCTCTTGGCCGACACGTTCTCGCAGCTACCAATGAGTCACTTTGAGATATGGGAGGGAGTAAAAAAGAAGGAACTGGAAATAACGAGCAGGCACTTTTTCTTGTGATACATAAGCGGTCAAGCCCTTGCTGCAGATGATGTGGTGTTGGTAGCACAAAGTGTGGCCCAGCCACTTCCAGGAACGAAGACAAAATTGGAAAAGGGGCGTTTTTCCACTTAACGCTGCTGCTGCTGCTCCACTTGGTGACAAATAACAATGACATACGTGTTTCTACTCTCCTCAATGCAACACTTGGTTGTATGAAAATAGGACAACAATGTGTAATATGCATGCTTTAGTTCTCTCACGTACACCCAAGAAGGCTATTTTGTTTTCATTGCATATATGTGTGTTGTGTCATGAAAGAGACCTGGTGATGATGATGATGACAATGGTACATACAAAAGCACGTCAGCTATGTAGGCATTTGTATTCTGTCAAGTGATTGGGATGGCGCCACCAAATTTACTTTATATATGCATGCTGCCAAGAGGGAGCCAAGATATGGTATGCCAATCATGTCCTTGCATAAACCCACAACTCCACATTACTGGATTAATCGATTGAAACATTGCGAGAAGGGTTGTTGTTGGAGCGGAGTATTATAAGAAGACAAGAGTTTGTAGGCTCCAGATTGTTGTATTTCATTTGAAGGGTGTCTCGCTCAACCCATCTTTCTTTATGGAAGGTGCGTGTGTGGTGTCTTTGTGAGTGAATTCGTTCACACTTTGAGTCCGGATGCCCGACCCAAAGGCATGATGTATTCGGAATTAAGTGATGGCACACTACTTTTGGAAATTGCTCAAATGAAAATGAAAAAAGGCAAAAATTTGACAAAAGGGCTTGGCGTACAACCCAGGGAAAAAACCACCCCGCCAATCCCCCACACATCAAAAAACAAGCATGTATGTGTGTATAAGCAAGTGCATCATCGACTAAGATATTATTTGTACAGGATTCCACGTATATATAAAAAGGGAGAGGGGATAGTAAGACTACTACTATGACTACTATGACTACTAATGAGTGGGGTGGGTTTGCTGTTATACTATAATGATTGAGTGTCTTAATGGTGCAGCAGATCACCTGAGGATGGATTTTGTCTGGGAGGATAAAAAAAGGGTTGTGCACCAGCAGCAGCAGCAGCTGCTGCAGCAGCTGCAGTATTGGAAGAAGGACGTTCAACTGCCATAATAGCATCTTCAAAAGCAAAAGGCATTGTCGTAGTGGATGATGGTTGTGGTGTTTGCATTATACCGCCATAGGATGCCGCTGCTGCCGCAGCAGCTACCACTTGTTGTTGTTGTTGCTGTTGATGTGGTACCACGGGTTGCTGTTGTTGCTGTGGTGGTGCAAACATGGGATGGTCAAAGCGATGTTGATCCATATTTATATCTTGTTGTTCTTGAATGGTGAGCGTATATTCTGGTACTTGAACGAGTTGCATTCCTTTATGAGCAGAGTCATTCTTTTGCTTCTTTTTTGAAGAGGCATCCATGGGAGGAGACTGGACGGTGCCAAGGGTTGCCAAGGAATCAAGTACCTCTGGTGTTGCCGTTGGACGATAGCTGCCGATCATCTTGGCCATATTGTGCTCTACAGCACGTGTCCATTCCTCGTTGGCAGCAACCACTGCACATAGACGCGCTGAGAGTACCAGTAAACGTTGACTACGTTCCTGCACACCACGTGCACGTTCCTCATCCAACTTTCTAGAAAACGCAGCGTCGTTGATCATCAAAGATGGAAATTGTTGTTGAAGGGTCTGGCGTATCACATGTGCTGGTAATCGCTGTCTCACCAGTTGTATCATCATTTCTTGTACCTCTTGTGGCCATCCCATGTCATCATCACCAACATCGTCTTTAACCTCCTTTGAAAATACCCAACATGGTTCATTCTCTTGTCCTTGTCCTTGTTCAAGTACCAGTCGTGTCATGTTTCCTTCCCCCATCACGTGCACATGACTCTATTACATACGCGTACACATTTGTCAATGATTTCCCAAGTCCCATTGTGACATGTTCAAAACACTCACCTTGTTGCCAAATTGATCATGCTTGACATTGTATCCAAATCCGGCTGCGATTCTTGTACAATAATCAAGCGCTGATGAATGGTCTGGAAACGTATGTTGTAATAGTCGTTCGTGGATGGCTTCCATCTGGATATGACGCATTTCAGCTTGAGACCATTGTTTTCATCATTCCATCATCATCATCCAACTTACGCGAGTCGTTTGTTGTTGTTGTTGTTGTTTTGAATGAGATGCTGACATGGATCATTCACTGAGGTGGTGGTGGGGTTTTAATGTCAATTTGTCAATAATAAGAAGGAAGAAAAATGACAGGAAAAGAAGGAAAAGAAAAGAAGAGAAAAAAGGAACGTAATCAATGAATCAAGGAGTAAAAAAAAAGTGCGACTGACAGTGGTGCGACGATCAAGGAGGCGAGAGCGCTTGTGTGTTTGCTTTGGCGGGCCCAGTGAATGCAGGAAAGCGCGTGACATTCCGTTCGAAACGAAGCCAAAACGATCACAAGGATATCAAAGGAGACCCCATTTTCCCTTCTCGTACATTACTCCTCATCCTCATGCTCTTGTGGTTGTTGTTGTTGTTGTTGTTGTTGTTGTTGCTCTAGCGTTTATTTTCCACTTGTCATATATGTATATACATCTTTCTGGATCGTGGTTGAAAGCAAAGTGAACGCGTACGTACGCACGGGATGTGAAGGGGTTTTGGTTGGTTGTTCACACAAAAGTAAGGAGGAGAATAGTATTGGCGGGTCATTACGGTTGCATAACAATAGTAGTAGTGATGGTGGTGGTAATAGCTGGTATACTTTTGTCTCAATGATTGTTGTCGTAAGCCGTTTTGCTCATCATGGCTGCTGCTGATTGACTAATGGCGCCACCAGTTGCACCAAATACAGCTGTTGATGTCAAAGAGTTGTTGATGTATTTCTGCAACATTTGGTTCTCGGTCAACAATGATTCATGCTCCTTCTTTGCCGAATCCACTCGGGAAATCACAGCTATCCTCAAGATTATAATTAAATACTGAAGGCATATACAAGTAACTTTTCTATATACCTCGAAGTTGTTGTTGCAGCTGAAGCACATTGCTATGAAGGTTCCCCATTCCTTAGTCATCCACTGCTCCAATCTCACATTGCATTGAATCCACTTACTTTACAAGAGCTTCTCTTGCTTCAGCGTCTTCCGTAATGTAGTTGTCATCGGCCATCGTTGAGTATGAGAGAAAGAGAGAGCGAGAGAAAGAAGTGAAAAAGCCCACTAGTCCGACTACGGCGATCCTCCCTCCTGCTGCTCTTTCTGCGTCACACAAATGATGCCCTTTCCTTCCGATACCTCACCGCTTCCGGTCACTCATCCCATCCGCCATTTACCATCGCCATGACAAATACTCCCTTGTATCCATGGATACGTAGCATATATTTAAATTTGACTTCCTATATCTACCACCGTTCTTTCTATAAGGATGGATCGTGTGTTCAGTAAAGTGATACGTAAACGAGCCATTGTCAAAGTTTATCTATTTTTCATGCATTCAAATGAGTTGCTTCTTTCTCGGCATATCACAAAGCACAAGCATACACGCGTGTCATTCAAGGAGGTGATGTAGTGTATGTACATGTTGAGAAGAAAGGGGGTAAACGATCAACAATACCCAAAGCAGATATATGGATTGTCATTTAGAGAACACCAATTGGGATCTCTCATTTTCTACATACATGTCAATGGGTTGTTTATCCAACAGGTGTGGATGAAAAGACCCTGTTGATGTACATACATAGGCCCTGTATCATGGCTGGTTGTGCCAATTACGACAATCAATCTTTTCTTTATTTGTGTTTGCTCATTGTCACCCCCTTTTTTTCTCATCTCCCACGCATCTTGCCACTCTTTACACACACAATCTTATATTAATGTGCATCTTCAAGTGCCAAGTTATCCTTATGTTAGGAGCCAATGAATAGGTGTATCCATCATGGAACAAAGGAGTAGACACACAACGTGGTTGTATGTATGTAGGCAGCAGGTGATGTGAGAAATAGTTGTACAGGGGATGCATCAGGAGGTGAAGTGAGTGTGTGTGAGAGAGACGTGGGTCGATCGCACAAAAGCCAAGATGAGAGAGAGAGCGTTACATACAAATGAAGTTGCGTCTTTTATGCAGGTCTGGTTGTGATTTGGATGGGACATTAAATCGATATGACATCCTCGCATGCATCATCATCATCATGATCAACGCGTGAGTCTTTTTTTTACTTTTCCTTCTTCTTTCTCTCTCACATTCTTCTACATAATCCATGTCAGTATTGACACCTTCTACAACCAACAGCACACCCTCCACCTCCTCCTTGGATTATCGTATCGACGTGCATTTGGCTACAGAGATTGGCCAACACCTGGTATCCAAGATGCGTTGTATGCAAACAACCATTCAACAACAACAGGAATCTCTCAACGAGCTATCCGAGCAATTAAATGCAAGGCAAAAAGTGGAAGGTAGGTTGAACAATGATATGCAGGTATACTGCGCATAGTAAACTAAGCATGTTGCATCATCATGTAGAGCGACTCAATGACGAGATATGGCATTTGGAATTAGCCAAACAAGAGTATATTGAAAAGTTGGAGGAATTGAATCGGGCTTTGGCACGTTCGCATTTGGATCAAGCACGTATGATGCGTCAAAGTCACTTGGTAACGCAAGAATTGGAATTGCTCAAGGATGCTGCCCATCAACACGCTGAGGAAAAGACAATGACTGGTGCTGTTATTCCACCTTCCCCATCAAGCAGTGGCATGGGTATGGATGAAGAGGATGACGATGATGATGGTGATGATGATGATCATCATCATGCTTCTTCTTCATCATCCTCTTCTCGTCCTCAATCATGGTCATGTGCTCGCTTGGAACCAGTATTTAGCGTGCCATCCTCTGCGTTTGCCACAGAACAGCAATCACGACCTTTTAGCTTACCACCCCCTCGACAACTGAATGATGCTGTTGACCAACAACAAGATGTATATGCACGATTGGTGACAGGTGATTGGATGTGGAAGTATACGCGTACCAAAACACGACATGCACGCTTTGTATGGATCGAACCTGATACCAAGGTTATTTACTGGAAACATGCATCACAGCGGAAAAGTGGTAAGTAACATTCACATCATCGGCAGAGTTTTTATTTTGATCACTCATCATCATTCCTCCACCAACATCAGCTATTATGGAATCTTTTATGGTCGAAGTTCCCCCAATGGGTAGTTCTTTTGATCGTGTGCCCAACCTTATCATTAAAACACGTGAACGCCAAGTCAAATTACAATGCATGACCATGGAAGCACATCGTCGATGGGTCAAGGTATATAATGCTTTTATGATGTGTATGGCGCGATACGTACAACAATGGCTGACACTATCTTAGGGTCTCAATTCACTCTTGAAACCAGGCATCATCGTTGCTGGTGCCCAAGAAGGCAAGTTGTCTCGCTTGTACTTGTCGGCAGGACACTCGATTCGGAATCTTCGATCCTTCTACCGCAAAGATATCAGCGTTGGAAACCAAACGACCTCGTCTTGCTCTGATGAGCAATCTTCTGTCAAGGTTATCTTTTCAAAACCATCCTCTCCCTATGATTCCAAAGTCGAATGCTAAACATGGCAACCTCATCTTGTCATCCTTACATACCATATCATCTTCTTACGTATTACATACATGTCAACATTAGATTTCTTCACATCATCGTATAGTATAATAATTCATCATCATTGCTAGAAAGATATATATGTCATGCCATAAAGAAATACAATACTACCGTTCCAAAGTATATGGATTTGATACAACACAACTTCTTGTATATAAAAGAGAGACCGTATATAAAGTTACTTTAGTAGTATAGCAAAAATGAAAAAGGAAAACGAATAAAAAGCTGAAGGGGGGTGGGGAATGTGGGATGGGGGGGAAGAAAAGAGTACTATAAGAGCTAGTATTTGTACATGTTGGCGCGTCGTTCACGTTCAGCTTGCTTCTTCTTTTTCTCAATGATACGAAGCAAATCACCCTCGTCGTCTGAATCATCTGAATCATCGCTTGAAAGAGTGGATGGTTGATATGAAGAGTGGGTGGTGGGTCGTGGAGGTGAAAAGTCGAAGCCCGGCTCCGAGTCATAAGTCAGTGGCTGTAATTTCTGTGCGGCATCTTGTTGGTAGTAGTGGAAGGGCTAATAGGGGAACGAGGTGAAGCTGATGATGATGTGGATGAGGAAGCAGCTACTACAGTGTTGTTGGTGGTGGACAAGGGCTGTAGGACATGTGTTGGTACCGATGGATTACTAATACCAGCATAATCATATCGTTGCTGCTGCTGATATTGATAAGCATGGTGTTGTTGTTGTTGTTGCATATACGATGATGAATCGTAATAATAGGGTTGTGGTGGAGGTGGTGCGGTTGCCATGGTATTAATAGCGGAGCCGAATTCTGGGGTTGATGGGGTGCGATTGATATAGGTTTGACTTCCCGCTGATACAACAAGATTACGGCCATTGTACATGGATGTCTCAGGATTGGTGATATTAGTACATGCCGATGTGTTGCGTGACAAGGTTGGCGACCTATCCCAAGATTGACTCGAGCGCCACGACGCCACAGATCCTCGTGACCGATTGGATGACCGAGATGCATTGGAGTCCGATCGTACTACACCATTACTATTACCGATATGAGTGTTTTGCAAAGTGAGTGATGGTAGATGCTGAAGGGGTCGATTGCAACGAAATGGATGGTGTACGTCTATGAGCTTGTTGTGGTGTTGCAAATGTTGATGATCGTGATTGAGTGGGTTGAGGAGGTGGTGGCATTGATAAGACCGATTCCTTTGATCATCTTCTTCATCACTTTCTTCATCACTCAACATAGGTCCCTCTTGTAAATCATAATCATCATCGTCGTCAATGGGAAGAGCCGCCTTGGGCCATGTACCAATCACAATAGGCATCTCCACAAGTTGAGTCTCATGAGCTGATTTCTTCCCAGTCATACAAACGAATACGGATGCGATATTGGACTTCAATGATCTTCTCCTTGTACTTTACAGAGCAATACGTAACTGAACGAAGTACAAT